GTTTGTTTAGTTGGAAACCTTCCAGCATTTGACATCAATTTTGCGGCACAGCTGCATGTGCTTCTGAGCACTTGGCAGAGTGATTACCATGCCCTTCGATTAAACCACCTTGCCAGCTTTGAGCTTCGCTTTGGTTCCAGAGGATGAAAGGTACAGCCAACCGAAGCCAACATCCTCTTTCATTACTTGAATGGGTATGACAAGCCTTGGCAGAATGCACTATCAAGAGGTCAGCGCACAGAAGCATCGAGTATCGAGAAGCCCCTTCATTGACCTGAGCCTTTTTGAGGAGCTCGTACACTGCACTGTGCCTTTGAATGACATGGCTCATGGCCTTTGAAATGTTTTGTAGCCGCCCATGAAAGCAAAGGCGGTTGATGGGGGGTATGTGTGGAAGATCTTTTGCAAGATGTCATGTGATTTGTTGCCTTGATTGATGAGATCGTGATTTGGGATCAGGCGGCACTCACCATGGGATCAATCTGAGCCTTTTCAAGGAGATGGTGAACTGCAGCCTGTCTCGGGGTGAAGTGATTCGCAAATGCTGTACTCAATCCCTTGTCTGTGCATTGGTCGCTCCTCCTCCTCTGCAGCTGTACATTGGTGGCCCATTTCTTTGTGAGTAGAAAGACTTGGCTGACAAGACTGACGCAAGGAAAATGTCCAGCCCACGCAAACATGTTGCAGTCATCAGGTCCCTTGCGCAGTGAGTTGCACTGGGCCCTCTCATTCATTTTTGACTGACTGCTGCGTTGCCTCTTTGCTCAGCTCCAGTTACGCCAGCCTTGCCGTTCAGCAGGATGGATTTGGGTTGGAGCAAGCAGCAAAACCTATCGCTCATGTGGCTTGACTACGAGTGGGACCGTGTCAAATACTTTGTTCACCAACAATTAGACACATGGAGCACCGCAAGGCACTCTGCATGGGCGTCCCAGGCCTATGCCAGCATACATGGCGACCAAGGCAACCGGACTGCTGACAATTGCCTTGGGCTGATCAAGCTCCAAATCAATGTTCATGTGGACCAGGCCTGCCAGGTACACAGCATGTTGTCCCCTTTTGCCCAGCAGCTGCAAGTGTGCCACCTTGTAACGACGCGTCTTCTGAGTGAAGACGTACGCTGGCGCAAGTAAGGTCCTTGTGCGATTGAGCAGAGGGCTAGCTGTTGTTAGGCGGCGGAACTCGATGGCGTGCTGTAAACAAGTCAGCACGACGCCGCTTGTGAATACTTCCTAATATAAGCGCGACAGCTGTTGCTGTAGCTTTCCCTCAGCACGCTGGTTATTTTTCAGGCATGTGTTCACGATGCAAAAGGGTATCTATCATTAAAAGCCGACATGGACACATAAAGGGTGACAAGTACAACCTGCAAATGACGTACAAATACATCTCAAGCACGCAGGCTTGCTAGCATCTGCTCACGAGCCACCACTGCCCTCATCACCACCGGCGAGCGTGTGACTTGGTTTTGAATGTGTGGAGCAAAGTGCATGGCGTACTGGTTGTCGGGCCAGTTTGCCAAGTCCACATCCCGCAGGGCCAACTTAGCCAGCACAAAGTGGTTGCCTTGCAGCACCAGGCAAATCACATTGGCACTGATGCAAGCTCACACCACCAGCAGCCAGGTGACAAAGGCGGTGAAAGGCCAAGCCTTGTCAGCGCCAACGGGCACATCCGCACGCTTGAACCCCATCATGACCACCTCGTCATCCTCTTGATCTGCGGGGAGAGGTGCAGCGGCAGCCTGCAGGGACGTAGGCACAATGGTGACCACCACAGAGTCAAAGGCCGACGCCACAAGCAGAGAGTGTAGGTGTGCGTCAAACCAGCCCCACTTGCCAGGAGCGCGTGGTGGAGGGTTGACGTAGAGCAGCTCCTGTGTGGCAGAGCTGTGAGGTTTGAGGAGCTCCGCACAGATGCCAGACCAGAGGGCAGGGTGATCCAGAACAATGCAATGGCAGCGCTGGCGTATCCATTGCTGCTCATCCTCACTGCCCATGCTGGCTTGCGCCACTGCTCTGAAGCCACAGTGCCCGTCTGGCTTAGGGTCGTACTGGAGCCTCTTGCAGCCAATTGACTCCAGGTAAGACTGCAGGGTTGCCGCTTGCCTCACCATCATTCCTTCCTGTGGTCGTGCAAGAGGCACATGGCAAGGGACCAATGTGTAGCCCAGCTGGGCGATGATCTCCCAGCAGGCATTGAGCTCCTTGGCCTTGATGCGGATTGCAGCACCACTGGCTGGACCTTGGGCTAGCGGTGGGCCTGCGCCACCACGAGGAGAGGACGTGAACCTGACAGCGGACATGGGCACGCTGCCAATCACCTGCTCCACAATGACAAAGCACACTTGCGTCTGGGTGCGCTTGACTCGGATGTGTGCCAGAAAGGGCCAGCACTCCTTGAGGAGGGGATGCGCTGGTCCACTCAAATGAGCGCTCACGTTGCCTAGCCTGGCCCCTTCCACAAGTCCCTCTGCCTCTTCCCTCCCATCAATCGCTTCCTCCAGGGTGGCATATGTTTGGGTTCCCAGCTGATGCTGGTACTTGTAGCCACTTTTGTGCTGGTGAATTTTATAGCGACCGAGGCATTTGCACATGTTGAGCTGCGTGGTGCCGGCTCTTGGGGCTGCATGCGCAACTGCCGTGTAGTGGGCTGCGCGGTGAGTGCCGCACTCCACCACACTGGGAGGATTGAGGAATGAGGCGGCCCTGGCAGCCCACTGCTCACCGTCGGCGCAATTGTCCACTGCATCCAGCTTTAGGGTCAATGAGCTTGACCCTAGGCCAAGCATTGGCGTCAATGTCTGAGCTGCCAGTCGCCGTGCGCTCGACCTGGTGCTCCGCTTTGACCCAGCAGAAGATGCTGAGGGCGCAGGAGAGGTGGCCCGTTGCACGCGGCAAGAAGGGCAAGCAGGTGTGAAGGGCGGTGGTGGTGCAGGTGAGGGTGAAGGTGGCTGCAAAGAGGATCTGTAGGGCACCAAGCCATGCTGCTGCTGGACCTTTGCCTTCTTCTTGGTGCTTGGCTTTGCTGGTGCCGGCGATGGACTTGCCGGGTTGGCGCCACGCCGGTTGGCCGCGTCATTGACCGAGCTTTGTTGGCCCAGGTCGCTCACCTGGCACTTGAGGGAGGGCACGCGAGGTGGCGGTGATGGTGCATCTGGACGTGATGGCCGCTCCAGTTGACATGCATGACGCACCACTTGGTCCACCTGGCTCATGGACACCTTTGAAGCACCAAAGCGAGGATAGAATGTGGGCGGCTCGGTGCCGGCGCGGCAAGCAGTAGAAGTGGGTGGCGAGGAGGACCCAAAGTGATTTTTGGGCTGCTGGTGTGGCATGCCCAGATGACTGCGTGTCAGCCCAATTGTCTGCTTTGCTGCAGTGGGAGCAAAGGCGGACATTGGGAGCAGTGGTCTGGGTGGCTCCTCGGTCGTCTTTGCCTGGCTGAAGGGCACAATCTTGGATGTCACACCGGTGTGCTGCTCAGCCAGCATCCTCTCCTGGGACCAATGAAGAGCAGCCAAGAGGGGGTTGCCTAGGTGCCAGTCTTGACGGTAGGATGCCTGCTTTTGGGCAACAGCACGTTGAGGAGCTGACACCGCTCGCAATGGGGGGCGGGTGGCTGCTGGCGGTGGTC